AATTATACTTCCATCCCTTATTTTTCTTTTTTACTCAATTTTTTCTTTTGTCTATTTTTTTCTGGTGAGCCAAGCATAGTATAAAGTTAAAAATTAAAATTAATAGACCCAAAGCTCTTGCGTAGTAAGCTGATAACATGATTTAATTGCAAATGTTCAAAAGCTTGGTTGCAAATCTCTAAAACTTAGTTGTAAATATTGTAATTAGTGCAAGTAGAATATAAATTGCATAAATTTAATGATCAAAGTTTGAAGATTAATTGCAAATAGTAAGTTATAAATTGTAAAAAAAAATTATAATTTTCAGGACTTGCAACTTCATTTTTAAGGTTTGAAAACATGCTTTCAAAACTTTTAACTACGCTTTTGGGATTTGTAATAAACATTTATAATTTACATTTCATTCTCCCAGCAAAACTTCCATCATTTACATCTAATTTTTCAAAATTTGAAATTAAGCTATGTTACAATGCCGATTAAATAGTACATGTATATTTTTGTCCATTTGCTACTGCTTAAAATTCTATTCCCTCTGTCATTTCACAAATTTATGATTTTTGAATTTCATTTATTTCTTTTGGTGGCCATAATGAATAAAGAAAAACTTGATGTTTGTGGGAAAATGAAACAATTAAGCTTATTACAAATTCACCGGAGTTTGAATTTGATAAGGGATGTAAATTCATTCATTTAATAAGTATTTTAATTATAGCCATATAATTGTATCAATATTTAAAAATTATTAAGATATATTTCTCTCAAAAATGTATAACAATTCTCACTATTAGAACATTCCTTAATCACATGCATTGTTCCTCTAAAAACTTGAAATTTTATGTATTATATTTGATAAATTTTATGACAACTATTCAATTAAATAAAGTGATTATTATTATATCGTATGACATACTTATTGAATGAGTGAATTCAGGTTACTTACCGGACAGAAATCTAAATTCACCAAATAATTTTAGTCTCAAGAGGTAGTATTCCTATTTTTCCTTAAAAATCATATTTTTATATTGAATGAATTGAAGCACTCCCAACAATGCACCAAGCCACCAACTCATGGATATCATTATTTATCATCAAAGATAAAAAGAGTTGCATCAGCAATCAGCTTTCATAACAACTACACTAATCAAGCTCCAGCTTATATGCATCACTGAGACACAATATTCATACGACATGCTGGTCCAAAACAACGACGGTATATGTATTCATATTCATATTCATTATATAATATAAATATTTTTATGGTGGAATAATAATATCAAAGTCGATCGTCGGTGTTTCTGGACTCTCAAAGCTTACCTAAGAAATTTTGTGTGAACCTGTAAGATTTCTAATTTGTAGAGCCAAAAGGTGAGCGATTGGGTGGTTCTGCTAAAACTAGGGTTCGTCTCAGTGACATGAATATTTTGAAATAGAGTGACAATAATCACACGGTGAATAAGAGCAAATATATGGTAAGGCTTGCTTCTTTTATTTTTACCCAATCTTTCTAGTTTTAATATCTTTTCCTCTTTTAATTATTACTCCATCTGTTTCAAAATACATGTCTTCTAAGATATTTGCAGTCTGCACGTAATTTTTTAAGATACAATTAATGAAAAAATATTGACTACACCGTCAAAAATTTCCCTGAAACTTAATAAATTCTGTTTAAAATGTTGAACTAAATATTAGTATATTATAAAAAAATTAATAAATATTGCTTCGAATTTTTAAAAATCATATAAAATAAACAAATTTTTTTATTAAAAAATTATATTGAAATGGGGGAAGAATTTAATAGCTTAATAAACATATGGGCCCTACATATTTATCCTTATTCATGATTAATATCAGACTTCTTTTTTTTTCACTCATTAAAATCAGACTTCAAGGAGATATTGCCGTGGGCGACTGGGCGGTGGATATTCTCGTGAGGCCACAATTTACAAAGGGTTTAACTAGTCTAGAAATTTATTTAATTATTAAATTAATCCTTATAATTTAATATTTATACTTTTAAAAAAATTAATTTTTATTCCACTAAACCAAATAATTTAACCTAAATATTTGAAATTAATTAATAATTAATTGTTTACCATACATTAGTTAATAATTAAATAATATATTTGTTCATAGTCAGAAATAATTTTTAATATGAATCCAACAACAATATATTTAGGAAATTAAAAAAAATTAAAACTGATTAACAACACATAATATTGCGCGGGACAATAATTTTACAAAATAAATTACCCTTACATCTTTCAACAATCGAAGCTTCATCGCCCCAATGCCCTCTTTTTACACAGTACGCAAGCCTTAAAATACAGAATAAAGATTTATGAGCAGTAAGAGATATCCTAATCCTAATGAGCCAACTAAAAATAATTCACTTGAACCTTTTTTTTCCCCCAAATCTTAAATATAATATTTCTAGAATTCTATAAATTTCTTAAAATTTGAATCTTTAGAGATATTTTTTTATTTGAGAAAAGTAAAGAAAATTAATTATTTTTTATTTTCTGAAAAATATCAAACGTTGTATTATGGCTCTTCCTTCTAGAAAAGATTCTTAAAACTATGCTTGGGATATGCTTTAAGTAATAAAACACGATATGGGTCAGTCTGGCACTCATTATGGTGATTTTTTAAAGTGAAAATTGTAAAGAAAGTTATGATATTAGTACGCTGCTTCTTTTTCTTGGCCAAATATAATAGTGCAAACAGTATAGGGAAAATCTCATCTAAGGCCTCAAGCCAAAAAAATTGCACTTAGAGCCCAATACATTTTAAAATTATTCTGCGGACTCAAGGACTCCTTTTTGCAAATACGTTTTAGAGCAAAAAGACATAATTATCCTTAGTGAGAAAGAAAAGACTTTATGTTCACTACTAATGAATAATTATTTGTTAATATGTGAATCTAAAATTATGAATTTGTAAATATGTGGTTGAAAAAATCTAAACTTATTGTAATGATTAACCTTAATTTTAAATATATCAAGTTATAAATTTTAGTTGTATCTTGTGAATAGATAAGCATGTACTTGTGAATATTTAAAATTTAAATTATAAATTCATTAAGTTGGTTAAGATAAATATGTCAATCCTAAAATTTTTTTTTACTACCAATAAACAATTACTTGTTAATATATTAATATAAAGTTGTGAATTCATAAATATATAGTTATAAAAAAAACTTGTACTTGCTGCTTTTTTGATTAAGGGCAATTGTGTATTTTTATTCTTAAATATATTTGTGAAAAGAGCCGTGAGGCCTGCATTATAATTTCAAAAAGCATTAGACTTTAGGCGCAATTTTTTTCCTTTAAGGGCCTTAGGTGCAATTTTCCCAACAATGTATGTTGGTAGTTTATTGACTAATGAAAAGTATAGGCTGAAAAAGAACGTGCAATGGTCTCAACAGGAATCTCTTCACAATATTCAATATGTTTTTGAAAAAAACACTACTTTTTATCCTTTCCCTTTGCTTAAATTTTGGTTTTTGGTCTCGGTATTTTTTTTAAGTGTTTCAAGCCTCTATACTTTTTTTATTTATAATGTTGGTCCCCACATTTTTAGAAAAATGTTGACATGGCATAAATGACGTTAATAATGTTAACATGTCAATTAACACCATTAATTTTGTGCTTATGTGTCAAATTGATACTGGTATGAATTTTTTAATGAGAAAAAATTAAAAAAAGTATATATTAGATGAAATAAAAATGTTGACTTGGACTCTTTAAATTTTTGCTTACTAAAAAATTCATGTTAGCATCTTTATCTCATCTGATTTTGGCTTTTTTTTTATTTTTGCTTATTAAAAAAATTCATGTAAGAACTTTTTATTTCATCTTATATAGTTTTTTAAATTTTTATTAAAAAATCCATGTCAACATCAATTTGATAGGTAAGTACAAAATTAATAGTGTAATTAATAAGTCAACATTATTAATATTGTTTGTATCACATCACCATCTCTATGAAAATGTAGGGATGAATATTGCTGATGAAGAAAAATATAAGGACCTAAAACATAATATATATATATATATATATATAAGGACCTATGTTAATATCTGAACAAAGTATAAGGATTAAAAATGATATTTTCTCATGTTTTTATGCACAATTTGTTGCGAAAGAATGGAATAAAGTAAAAGCATAATCTATTCAGTACCATATCCATCGTTGAGCTTACCCAATCCTCCACGCTTGGGTAAAATTATAATTATAAAAGTATCCAAGCAAAAAACAAAAAAACAAAAAGACAAATTGGTTCTCTCAGAATTTACTGTATGGATTTGCAGCTGCTATATTTTTGGCAATTGTTTACTTGTATTATAAAACTTGCCACCACATGTTTTAAGTGTTTGATTAAAAACCTAACACAAATTATTGAAATTATTAAAGTATGATGCAAATTTGTATTGGACACAATTGAAGAATTCTTAAAAATACAACATAAAAAATTAGAGAAAATTGAACACGCCTCTTAAGCAAGCTGCAGGTCAAAATTAGCACATGGGATGGGTCTATGTGTGCGAGCAAAGAGTATAACTGTTGTGAAAATAAAAAGTAAAAAAAAATGAAAACTAATCATTTTTTTAAAAAAATTCATTCTTTGTCACCGGTTAGTTGTCCTAAATGGCAATGCCGTCTTTCTCTTTTGAAAGAAGTTATGATTTCAAACCCAATATTAATATGGTTGTGTGTACATAGATACATGAATCTTCCTTTTCTATAAAGAAGGTTAGATTAGATGTAAAAATATTTGGAAAAAAAAAAAATTAGTCCCGGTTATCCTCAACTAAACCCTGTACTATCTATTTATTTGCCGCCCACTATAGACGACCATAAATATAAGGCATGGATTTGTCATTTTCATGGGGACCACAATATTACCTTAGTAATTAACCCATCATGTCATGATTATCAATATGTTGATGCCAAACCAACCCATTTGTCCTCTATAAATAAACGCTCATAAAGAACTGTTTAGAACACACAAGAACTTCAGAGACACAGAAAAGAAGCGTGAGTATGAGTTCTCTTGGTGACTCCGTCGCAGCGCTATGCTGTGCATTGGTGGTGCTTGCAGGAATATCAGTTTCATACGGTCAGTTAGATCCTTCGTTTTACAAAAACTCATGTCCTAAGGTGCATGCCATTGTACGAGAGGTTGTTCATAATGCTTCGAGATCTGATCCACGTATTGGTGCCAGTCTCGTCAGGCTTCATTTCCATGACTGCTTCGTCCAAGTGCGTGCTTTTTCATCTCCTTCACTCTCTCTACTTGGTCTTCTAATGTATTTGTTAGTCACCGATCTTGTAGTAAATAGTGGATACCTAAAGCTGAATCTAAAACTTATCGTTGTAATGACCAAGCGTTTGATTAAAAAAATGAAAAGGATGTAGAGTACGAGTTGGATGTATTAGCTGAATTCCTCTGCAGTTTAGCATCTTCTTACAAGTCTTCTCTTAACGTCTCTTCACTCTCAGTGGAAGTCTCAAGAAAAGTGGCTCAGTTGTATGGTCCTTGGAGAGATTGACGAATCTTTATTATGGAGATCGAAAAATATATATATTCATTATATGTGTTGGTGTGGGGCATGCAGGGCTGTGATGCATCAATATTATTGAACAAGACGGATACGATAGACAGCGAACAAGATGCTTTTGCAAATGTGAACTCAATAAGAGGATTGGATGTTGTCAACAACATTAAATCTGCTGTTGAAGCTGCTTGCCCCGCCACCGTTTCTTGTGCTGATATTCTCGCCATCGCTGCTGAAGTCTCTGTCGTTTTGGTACTCGATCTTATCCTTAAAATTGCCTAAAACATTGCTCTGGCCATCATTAATTACTATTTAGATCATTGTTATTATATTATATTGAAATAAACTTGTAGAACATTATATTGTTTGAATACAAAAGGACAAACATGTTGTGTGGGAGAGAACCAACTTTGTACTCAAGTAAATTATATATAAAGGACAAGCCCATATGAATCGGCTTTTAATATTCACCCTATAGTCAATTTGCGTGGTGCTTGATAGTAGGGCACTGGATGTTTCAATTATTAACATGTTTTGTGTGTTAGGGGTACATACACTTTACTTTTTTTTAAAAAAAAAAAGGACATGCATATCCATACATTGGATATGGGGAAAGTGGAAGTTGTCGGCCATGATTGAGAACCATTTTGGCCACATCCATGTGTATCATCTGTGGAGTTTTCCAAGTTTTTTATTTTTTCAAGGTTGTTACCTAATACACATAGATTAAAAAAATAAGTTAAATTTGTTAATTGCTATTAATGTGTCCATAATTTGTGATATAGCCTTCCGCCTTTCCCCAAACACCCCGATTGGCTTTACTAAAAAAATAATTAATGTAAGAGATAAAAGAGATTGAAGTATTAGTAACAAGAGTTAAATCTAATAAAAGGAGTTAGTTCCTCACAACGAATTTAATCAAAGTTCAAATTTTTATTAGGAGAAATGTCCACATTTAATATCAAACCATACTTTAAACATTATTATCTTTAATAAGAGGATATCTGTGAGCAATCAAATAGAGAGAGATATTGAAGTAGTACTTGCTCCCTTTTTATTTCTGAGGTATAGATAATTATTTTTTTGGTTCTATTTATGAGTTTTTTTCTCTTATGCTTATTAAATGTATGTATATTTAATAAAAATAAAGTTAACAAATAGATTAAGTTTGTAAGCAAAGTTAATATATTTTGAGGTAATTTTAATTTTGATAAATTAAAACAAATACTCTTCTGGTTCTATTTATAATGTAGGGATGGAGTATTTGTTTTGCTTGGGCAACAATGTGATTTTTGTGTTTTTCTTTATCTTTTTATTTTTATTGAATGTTAGGAATGTTATTACATATTAGAGAGTAATTTATTTTTATAGTATGTAATTTAATAACAATAAAGTTAAAAATTTGTTGAATTTTTAGATAAGATTAAATAAATTTTAGGGTTTTCATTATTTCGATAAAATATACTGTAATTAATTTATAAATAAAATCAGAAGAAATTTATTATTAAAAGTAGCCTATAAATATAAGTGAGAAGGTCTTAGTATTACTTTAGAAATCGAAACTAACTTCTCAGCTAGCTTTTAGATTTAAGATGAAAGTAATAAAAGTGAACAATGAATGGTGAGACAGGATGATGGAAAAGGGTGGAAAGTTCCATTGGGACGAAGGGACAGCACGACAGCAAATCGAACGCTGGCAAATGAAAATCTTCCTGGTCCAGGCTCCACTTTAGATGAACTCAAATCTGCTTTCGCTGTTCAGGGCCTCAATACTACTGATCTCGTTGCCCTCTCTGGTATTTCTCTCTATACTTCTGTTTTTCCATAATTACTTATCGATGTCTTCCTATATATTGGACGTACAAACGGGCACTTCATTGAACAAAAATTCAAATCTTGATTCTTTATGTTGTGAGGGATTAGTCGATGCAACCCGTTGATTCTCTCTTTTTTTTCTTTCTTCTTTTGTTTTGTTTTGTTTTTATCAATAACAATCTTTTTGTCAAATAATTTAGCAATCAATTCAAGACTAATGAGCTGGCCCTTTTGTCAAGTAATCAATTCAAAAGCAATAGAAAAGACTAAGTAACAAACAATTATTTTTTCAACATATCATCACTCACATGATTTGAATTAATATTGCTGGGGCCTCACTTTCAGGAGCTCACACATTTGGAAGAGCACATTGCAGCACATTTGAGGATAGATTATACAATTTCAGTAGCACAGGCCAACCCGATCCCGATCTCAACACGACGTACCTTCAAACCCTGCGAGTAATATGCCCTGAGGATGGAGACGGTACCAACTTGACCAATCTGGACCTGACCACACCTGATACCTTCGACAAGAACTATTACACCAATCTTCAGGTTCACAATGGCCTCCTTAACAGCGACCAGGTCTTGTTCTCCACTTCTGGTGCAGACACCATCGCCATTGTGAATAGCTTTGCCAGCAACCAGTCCCTTTTCTTCGATCAGTTCGCTGCCTCCATGATCAAGATGGGTAATATTAGCCCCTTGACTGGTTCTCAAGGCCAAATCCGATCTCACTGTAACTTTGTGAACTCGGACTCTTCTCGCTTGAGTGCTGTCACTCCCACCAAAGTGTCTGATGATGATGTTCTGGTCAGCTCAATCTGAACAAGTTGACCAATGGTTGATTTCTCTGTGTAGGCGTGTGCGTGCTACATGTACCCATGACTGTGTGCTGTGTTTTGTGGTGATAATAACTTTTTATCATGCCACTGCTAATAATAATATTCGTGTTTCTCATTATCTCTGTGTTTTGTCCATTTTTATATTGAACGAGGGCACAGTGTTGCGAAGAGTTTTTTTTTTTTTTTTTAGCATCGTTTTATTGAAGTCAATCATAATTAATTTAAGGATTGTTTGAATAATTTAATTGAAAAATTCGCATGACAGTGCAAAAATGCATGACAGTTGTTAATAAGTTGGCATGAAAATCAAACTGCGGCCCCTGAAATTCACTTTTACGTTACAGGATAAGGTTTGAACTTTGAACACAGAAAGCTATTTATCAGACCTGTAGCATTGACTATATTTTGCAGTTCAAACAATTTAATTTCATCAAATATGGAAGGCAAAGTAAAATTTCTCAAGATCTGTTTTTTTAATCCAACCAAAAAAAAATAAGATGACAAAATTAAGGTAAAATTAAAAGCCTTGGGAGTTCTCCCTGAGAATATATTATACGCATATGATTAAATCGTTCTTCAGTTAATAATGGCATTTCCTTACCTTGCTTTACAAAACTTGCAACATATGAACATATTTGATTTAAAACATTTTACAAATTGCTTCTTATTATTTAAAATTATAAACCGGCAGAATTATTAAAGTTGTACACTTGTACTGGGCAAGTTGATTTAAAACATTTGCTTATTTAAAATTGCTTCGTTTATAAAAAATGCAATGGCGCTCTCCTTTGAATTTTGAATTTTGAATTTCACCGCCAAAAGGAATCAAAGTCGCGTGGGTGCGCTTCGTTGAGAGGAAAGGCGATTTGTCACGGATGATATCTCCGTGACCGTGTAAAGACCAAGATAATGAACGGTCCGCTGGTTAGCCTCGCACAATATGGGTAAAGGGGGCGACATTAGCATTGGGGGTGTTCTGCCTCAGTTTTCGGACTGTGTGCACAACTAGTCGGGGGCTAGTGCCGCCTCCCTGATGAGCCCATGGCAGGGCGAAACCAGTGTGATCCGTATGTGGTAAGGCTTGTCCTGAGGATTATGGGGTCCTCCAGGACGCCGCACGGGCGCCTTGTGCTGCGCCAGACTCTCAGCCCGTGACAGATTGCTCTTTTAGTTTCTTGGAAAGCGGGAAGAGTGGTTCAAGATTCGGTCACCGCAGTAAAATTTGTTTGAATTTCAGTTGAGTATAATAGATTATAAAAATAATTAATTAAATAATAAATTTTAATCATAATTAATTATGTTATAACGTAATCTGTTTGGATACTATTTTTTTAAAATTAATTTTAATAGAATTAAAAATGTTTAGATAATTTAATCAAAATCAATTTTAGCTATATAAATTACTATATAATTTAATTCTTAAATATTAAATATTAATTTTTTGAGGATACAAAATTTGAATTTTATTAAAGAAAAAAAAAGAGGAGAGAAGAGAGTTTAATTTTATTTTTATTAAATTATGTGCTTTATTTATAATTTTTTTGTGGGCTTTCTTTTATAATTTTCTCCAACGTTTTTTTGATAAACTTTTGACAAATATTGATTCCATCCACTTGCGGGAAAACGGGCGTAATCTGTCAGAATCGATTCATATGCTTTTTGGACCGTTTGGGTAATTTGCTTAAAAAATTGATTTTGGGGGGGGGGGGGGGGAATTGATTTTTTCCCTTATCCAAACACACTGCCATTTGAGTGCGGCGTTCCCATGATTCGGTGTTATTGGGCTGTTATGGAACCTTTCGTTGGGCCACGGCAAATTTGTCTTCGAGCCCAATGTTCCACATTTAGCCTTAACAATTATGGTTTTTTTTTCCTTTCTACTCCCTTTCTTCTTCTTCTTCTTCTTCTTTTTTTCTTCTTCTTCTTTTTTTTTCTGCGTATAGCATTTGTTATCCCAACTCACTAACTCAGGAGGCCAGACTAATCCGAATCAAGTTGAGAAGGCCCATTTTTGGGGGTAGGCTCTACCACACCCTCCTAGAGGGATTTATCATGTTGCTGCATTTTCAAACTCAAACTTATGACCTAATTAAACTAGGACAACCCCAATACCAATTAACCTAAACATTCGGTGATTTCCCTTTCTACTCTTTCTTACTTGCAAAATGCGTTGGGTGTCACTTTCAAGTGCTCTCATTAGGGGTGAGCAAAACCGAATCGAAATTGAAAATTGAATCAAATTTTATCTATTTGCTTCGGTCTATTCAATTTTTCAGTTCGATTTGGTTTTCTTTTAATGAAAATTTTGGTTGATCGGTTCAATTTGATCTGAGAATTCAAAAATCAAATAAACCAAACCGATTGAATTATTCATATTTTTCCTTTCATATTTTTAAAAATGTGAATAAATTTTCATCTAGATGAATAAGAAACATCTTTTTCCTACTTGCAATAATAGTATTTTTTTTTTGGGTTTAATGTGATGTTCTAATTTTTTATTTCTATAATTTAGTTTTTAATACAATAGTACTAAGTCTTATTAATTTTCTCATAAATTATGGTATAAGATTGTTATTTTTTGTTAGGCCTTCAATATCAAGGGAAAAAAATTGGATAGAAGAATATATGAATAATTAAATTTCATAAACCTAAATCAAAGCCCATAAATCAAATAGATCGATCGAACCGAAGCATTAAAATTCAATTCGGTTTTAATTCGGTTTGATTATGTATTTCAATTCGATTTGATCTAAATTTTTTATATAATTTGATCGATCAATTTTAGAAAAATTAAAATCGAATTAACCGAATGCCTACCCTTAGTTCTCACAGTGGGAAACAGAACATTAAAACCAAGCTTTGTGTAGGCGTGTGCTTGACATGTGCCTGTACTATCTTAGCTTTTACTAACTATTTTTTACTATGCCACGGGTGATAATTAATAACATTTGTGTTTCTTTGTTTCTTTTTCTTTTTTTTTTTTTTTTTTAAGGAAAGGAGATAACAGACAAATGAACATTTGAGTTTCTTATATCAGTTTTTTCCCCCCATTTTCATATTGAATAACAGCAAGCTATGGTGGAATTACGAATAATGCGGCGGATATTCTCTTCTCGTGAGTCCACATGTCACAAAAAGTGAAAAAGGTTGAATTATTTCAGTATAGAAAGTTATTTAATTTTCAAATTAATCTTTATAATGAGAAAAAATTAACTTTATTTATTTGTCTCAACCAAAAAGTTTAACCATCTTAAAATTGCTAATTATGTTGTCAAATAAATTCCCCCCCCCCCACACACACACATTCAACAATAATATATTTATGAGGTGATAAGAAAATTTTAAAACTGATTAATTACACATATATAGTAAGACACATGTGAGAGTGATTTTAAGAAATAAATAAATTACCCTTACAGTGCCTTTCAACGTCACCCTAATTACCACTCTTTAGTTTGTATTTAATCATTGATCAAGGTGAATTTTTTTAAAAGCAAAATATGGGTCAGCTAGCACTCATTACGGTGAATTCACTTTTAAAGTGAAGCCTCAGTGCAAGGTCCAATGTTTCGATGCACAAATTAATGCAAAAAGAAAAGGTGTGGGGGGGGGGGGGACGATTAATCAATCCCTTTCTTGGGGAAAAAAAAAGCTTAATCTATTCAAGGCCACGCCCTTCGTTGAGTTGACCTAATCCCTCCAGAGTAGCGTAAAATTATAATTATAAATTTTCCCAAAAAAATAAAGACATCTTGCATGCCCAAAATTTTTTTCAGTTGCTAATATAGTAGTGGCATTTGTGTCTTGTATTATTTCACTTTCCATACATGGTAAAATGTTTGATTAAAAACCTAATACAAATTATTGCAAATATTTAAATTTTAAACTATATATTCATCTTATTCTCTCAACCAAGCGGCAGGTCACAATTAGCATAAGGGCTATGCATATCTGAGCAAAGACGACTATAAGTGTTTTAAAATCAAAAATTATTTAAAAAAATGAAAACTAATCATTTTTAAATTATTCACAGTTAACTAACATCACGTTTTATATTCTCAACTAAACCCTATACCACTGATGACCATAAATATAAGACATGGATTTTGTGTCTTTGGTGGGGACCACAATATTTCCTTAGAGTAATTAACCCATCATCAAGATCATCAATATCTTGATGCCAAATCAACCCATCTGTCCTCTATAAATAAACGCTCATAGAGAGCTCTTAGACCACGGAAGAACTTCACGTGCAGACACAGAAATGGAGCTGAGAATGAGTTCTCTTCGTGTCTCTGTGGCAGCTCTATGCTGTGCATACTTTGTGCTTGCAGGAATATCAGTTCCATACGGTCAGTTAGATCCTTCGTTTTACAAAGAGACATGTCCAAAGGTGCATGCGATAGTACGAGAGGTTGTTCATAATGCTTTAAGATCTGATCCACGTATTGGTGCCAGTCTCATCAGGCTTCACTTCCATGATTGCTTCGTCCAAGTATGTGCTTAATTATTCTTCTTCTCCTTCACTTTCTCTAATTACCACACACACACACACACACATATATAATATATTTTCATTAACAGTAGTTGCAAAGTGAATAGTGAACACTCTTAAAGCTGAATCTAATACTGTTCTTTGTCATGATGAAGCCGTTTGAATTACAGGCATTTTGCATGGCCTCTGAGTTTATGAGCTTCTATGTGTATATTTACTTTAGTTATGAGAACCCTAGTAGACTTGATTACATGGCAAAATTACATGATTACTATTTTAGACCATTTTCTAGTAGTTGTCTTGAGCTTAATCTGAATGAAAAAGCCACTAAATCAGACACACACTGTCCAAGATCGTAACTCGGATATATATTGAAAGATGATACTTTGACATGATACTGCAGGAATAACTACTGGTGTGCAGAGAAAAAGATAACAATATTTTTATAAAGCTGAAAAATTGCGTAGATCTAACTTAGCTTTAGTTTATAATATTAAAGTAGGAAAGATGTACACAATAATTAATATTTTCAAATATGTGATCTGAACCTCTCTGCATTTTGGTATGAGTCTTCTCTTATGTCTCTTCACGCTCAGTGAAAGTTGGAACAAAAAGTGGACGAGTCATATTTTTTTGAGCTGAAATGGATGAGTGATATGGATCCTTGGAGAGCTTGATAAGTCTTTGTGGGGGTAAAATATATGTATTTATTAATACACATGTCAACAGTGATTAAATAAATATAGTATATATGTGTATTGGCGTGGGGCATGCAGGGTTGTGATGCATCAATATTGTTAAACAAGACGAATACGATAGAAAGCGAACAAGACGCAATTCCAAATGTGGACTCAATAAGAGGATTGGATGTTGTCAACAATATAAAATCTGCAGTTGAAGCTGCTTGCCCTGCCGCCGTTTCTTGTGCTGATATTCTGGCCCTTGCTGCTGAAGTCTCTGTCATTTTGGTACTTCTTTGTTCTCTGCACTTAATTTGCTGCTCCATCAAAGTTGTCTGAAAATTGCTTTGTTTTGAGCCATTCTTGTTAAAAATAGGTTTTTTTAACCAATATGTTAAAAAAAATATAAGATATTTTTAATTTTTCAATGTATAATTAATGAGTTTTTTCTTTAAAAATATCCTTAATAAATAAACCAATCAACCTTCATTTTCAAATGATACACCTTATTAAATAAAAACAAACATGAAGAGACGGTATAATTTTAAAGATAATTAATTAACTTTTTGAGAGTGTAATCATATCACAAATGCCTTATAAATAGAGAGATTATATGATTTCCCTATCTCTCTATTGGAAATTGACAGGGAAGAACGTTTTTTTTTTAATAAAATATGTGTACTTCACAAAATTCAAAAATAATGACTTACATTTTGGATCATAAAAATATTCTAAAAGATGACTTGGATAAATTAAAGCACTCAAGCATACACAATTAAACCATACTTTCTTCACTTTATAAGCAATTTTTAAATGTATATATATTTTTATAATATAAATTAATTATAATGTGTAATATGTCAACAAACTTTCTTCACATATTTCACCTATCCTAATTTTTACAATTATACTTTCACTATCCTAATTTATAAGATATTTTTAGATAAAATTATGCATAACAATAAAGTTTATTAGATAAACTTCACAACTTTATTTTTTTCAAAACAAAAATATAAACATCTAAAAATGTCCTCCATTTAATATTTTATTTGTGAAAGAATATTAAAAGAATAATATTGAAAAAGCATCATTAATAAAAACCAATTGTCATCAAAATATCTTATATTTTGATATGCCCAATCTCTTCATAAGAGTCTTATAAATTGGAATAAGATAGTATATATATAATATAATAAATGTTTTTTGGAAGTTGGAATTATGCTAATAATCATGTACTCCTAATAAATAAGAACGTACTTGGAAAGAACTGGCATGTTTTGATTAAAGATAAAGCCAACTTTGTTTAAGATGTGTGATACACATAGTTTGGGATTGCACTATATCTAAGATGAAAAAGAAGAGTGAAATTGAGCATTGAATGATTTATGACACAGTCTGATGGAAAGGGGTGGAGAGTTCAACTGGGACGAAGGGACAGCACCACCGCTAATAGGACGCTGGCAGAGGCAAACCTTCCTCCTCCGTCCTTCACTTTGGATCAACTCATATCCACTTTCGCTGCTCATGGCCTTGACGCCACTGACCTCGTTGCTCTCTCCGGTAATCTTCATAAGAAATTAACCACTTATTTTCTTTCTTGTCAACTTTTATAATAGTGCCGGCCGGGCTTCACTTTCAGGTGCTCACACATTCGGAAGATCAAAATGCAGCTTATTTGTGGATCGATTATACAATTTCAGTGGCACAGGCCAACCCGACCCGAATCTCAACACGACATACCTTCAAGACCTGCGACTAATATGCCCTCAGAACGGGGACGGCACCGCCTTGACCAATCTGGACCTGACCACACCTGATGCGTTTGACAAGAACTATTACACCAACCTTCAGGCTCACGATGGCCTCCTTAACAGCGACCAAGTCTTATTCTCCACTTCTGGTGCTGACACCGTCGCCATTGTAAATAGCTTCGCCAGCAACCAGTCCCTCTTCTTCGCTCAGTTCGCTGCTTCCATGATCAAGATGGGTAATATCAGTCCCTTGACTGTCTCTCAAGGTGAAATCCGATCTCACTGTAACTTTGTTAACTCCGACTCTTCTCGATTGGGTATTCTCACTCTCACCAAAGAATCTAATGATGATGTTCTGGTCAGCTCAATCTGAACAAGTTGACTAATGGGCTGATTTCTCAGTGTGGGCGTGTGCGTGCTACATGCACCTGCGTACTGTGTTTTGTTTCCATAGTAACTTTTTTATTCTGCCACTGGTAATAATGATGTCATTTGTGTTTCTTATATCTGTGCATGCTTTGTCTTTTTTCTTTTTGAAGACCAGCAACCTATATGTGGTTGATTTGCTAATGACTCACTCTTTGTCTTTGATGTTATTGAAGATCAGCAACCTATACGTGGTTGATTTTCTAATGACTCACTCTGTGTCTTTGATAGTTTGATACAAGAAATTGGGTGTTAATAATGGCATTTTTTATCTTGTTTTACAAAACTTGCTACATATACAGGTGTCTGATTAATTTTTTTTTCTAATTATTGCAATTATTTAAAATTATAAACCAGGACAGAAAATACAATACAGTACAATTGATGACACGCTATCGAATAAGGTTATAAAAAATACAGTATTGAAAATCAGAAAAAAATGGATTACGTTTCCCTAAGCTAGCTGGTCAAGATATATTTAGCAAATGGTATTTTTTTTTTTTTATCTGAGCAAAGAATAGAATATGCTTGCCTATTTTTCTCTGTTCCCGGGGGAATGGTTGCTCCCGTTTCTAACACAAGTCATTTAATTGTAAAGAAAAAATAGTCAAAATTAAACTAATTACTTTTGAATGGATTAATCACCTTGAGCAAACATGGATGACGCTGTTCTCAACTAAACCTTGAATATATAATTACGGCACAGTATGGCTTCCCACTGCGATGCTGTAAATATTAAATATATATGGATTTGTCTCTTTCACAGGGACCACTTAGCAATTAAGAATTAACCCAGCATCATCACGCTCGTAAAGAGCTCTCACAACACACTAGAAGCTCACAACTCAGTGCTCTTTTTTTCTTTTTTAAAGAAATAGAAGGAGCTCTTTTCGTCTGGCGGCTTGCAGGAATATATGATTATGAATATCAGTTTCATATGCTCAGGTTTTAGCATAAGTAATATATATATATATATATATATGTGAATACTTGTATAAGCTGAATCTAATCTTTTTCCTGGTCATGATAAAGCCGTTTGATCAATTTCGGGCCCAGAGTCATTCGTGTCAACATGGACTCGATCGAGTGTCTAAACTTTTTCTTTTAAATGTTAATTAAATAGAGAAAGACATGTTACTCATAAATTACGGTCAGTTTTTTAAAGGGTAAATTGCAAAGAAAGTAATAATAGTACGTGTATATGATATGACATGACAAGAAGATCAACATCGATATAGATCCATGTTGATGCAGACTATGAACGTCCAGGCAAAAAATCTTAAAAGAAGCCTACGTGCAATGTTCAGTTTTCCACAAGTTTGTTTTCCGAAAAGTGATGTTTCCCAAGTTGATGCAAGACCTTAATTTATTCAAAACCTTTTAATATTTAACAAATCTCAGTCACACTAATCTCAACTGAACCACATTGCAATATATATATATATATATAGCCGTTAGCCGCCCACCACGTACGTCTCTAAATTAAAAACATATATAGATTTGTTTCACCAAAAAAATATTTTCACCCAAAAAAAAAACATGTATGGATTTGTCTCTTTCGTATAGTGACCGCAATATTACCTTAGTAGTAAACCCATCCTCATCATTATTTTTCAATATCTTGATGCCAAACCAACCCATGTGTTCCTCAATAAATAAGTGCTCATGAAGAGCTCTCAAAACACACAACTACGCACAACCCTCTGAAAAAGAAAGAAACAACAAAATGAGTTTTGTTCGCCTGTCAGTGGCAGCTCTATGCTGTACAATAGTAGTGCTGGCAGGAATATCAGTTTCATACGGCCAGTTAGATCCTTCGTTTTACGAAGACACATGTCCAAAGTTGCAGGCGATTGTTCTAGAGGTTGTTCATAATGCTTTAAGATCCGATCGTCGTATTGGGGCCAGTCTCATCAGGCTTCACTTTCATGATTGCTTCGTCCAAGTATGTGTGCTTCTTCAGCACTATATATATATATATATATATATTCTCTGTTTATCTTATGTATTGGTATTAAAAGTAATGTACGTTGTTTTCTCTGCAATGACGAAGCCGTCATTATTTGGAGAGCAATGTTCTGCTGGCATGGACTCGAGTTTGTGAACTTTTCTGTTATATATATTTTGCTTTAATTAGTGATTAGAACTCTTAAGTAGAATTGATCATCACGAAACTAAGTGATTAATATTTCAGACAGTTTTCTATTTGCTGTTTTGGGCTATAATTGGGATATTATGGCAAGAAGATGAAAGATACAGTACTGGCCCTTGTTTAAATTGATAAATTTGCAGGAATACTTGTTTTTACCGCTGATGCATGCTGAGGAAAGGGACAGTAGTATTTCTATAGTTATAAAAAGATGCGGATGGATCTAACTTAAATTTACAATAGTGAAGTCGAAGGCATGCAGTACGACATGTAGTATCTGAATTTCTCTCGACTTTCGCATATATCTGCTTGCTGTTATGATTTCTCTTCATCCAGAGTAAAGTTGATTGAATATGTATGTATATGTTGTGTGTGTGGGGCGTGCAGGGTTGTGATGCATCAATATTATTGAACAAGACGGATACGATAGACAGCGAGCAAGATGCTTTTCCAAATGTGAACTCAATAAGAGGATTGGATGTTGTCAACAACATCAAATCTGCAGTTGAAGCTGCTTGCCCTGCCACAGTCTCGTGTGCTGATATTCTTGCCCTTGCTGCTGAAGTTTCTGTTGTTTTGGTACTTTATCCTTCTATCCATCTTCCTCTCGCCTATATCTACTGTTAACTGGCACAAAAACTGGGTAAACAACACGGATATGTTTGAAAACGAATGACAGGCGGGTGGTCGGGGATGGAGAGTTCCGCTGGGAAGAAGGGACAGCACAACGGCCAACCGAGGACTGGCCAATGCTAACCTTCCTCCTCCCTTCTTCAACTTGGATAAACTCAAAGCCTCCTTCGCTGCTCAGGGCCTCAACACTACTGATCTCGTTGCTCTCTCTGGTATATCTGTTTTTCTCATTCACTTTACTTTCTTGTTTTTCTTTGTTTGATATATATCTGGAATTCACTTGCAGGTGCTCACACATTTGGAAGATCACACTGCCGCAATTTTGTGGACAGATTATGCAATTTCAGTGGCACAGGTCAGCCTGATCCGACTCTCAACCCATGGTACCTTCAAAAGCTGCGTGTAATATGCCCTCAGGATGGAGATGGCAACAACTTGACCAATCTGGACCTGACCACTCCTGACAAGTTTGACAAGAACTATTACACCAACCTTCACTTTCACGCTGGCCTACTCAACAGCGACCAAGTCTTGTTCTCTACTTTCGGTGCCGATACCATCCCCATTGTCAATAGCTTCGCCAGAGACACAGCCCCATCATGAATATCTATGTAGGCTTCTTGTGTGTGTCCCATGTAGCGGTCCTTTGGTATGGTAATAATAATTTTATTATTATGCCACACTGAAAATAATATTAAATAATGCCGGTGTTTCTGATGAGATGTGTGTGTGTGTGTTTGCTTTTATTCTTTTTTTTGGGATTTCCAATATATCCGAATCCGAATATATGTGTATTACAAACCATGGTGGAGTTGATGCTGTTATATATATATATATATATATATTGATACAAGTGGCAAGCATCAGCTTGAAGGTGACAAGTTACTACTCATCTAGTAGAGCATGATATCATGGGCTTTCCTAAATGAGATGTGTAGTGCATTTATTTTTATGTTCATAACTCTCTTCAAGTCCTATCAATATGAGACGTAACAATTTTTTCTATCAATATGTGATGCCCTAGTCACATTTGCTCCATCGGAAGGGGCTCACCATCTGGTCAAATCTAAATCTGATTTTGATATCATTTTGTTGTAAAATTATTACTCTCTTTTCTAAAAGTTAATTATGTGAGATGCAGGGTACACCTATTTATATGCTCAGAGCTCTTTCCAACTCCTTTCTACGTGTGACACAACAATAAGCTCTTCCCTACATAAGAAATATCCCTTGACAGCATGATGGAGCTTCCGTAATCAGCTTGAAGACTTGTTAGTGTGTGTTTTCTTTTCCGTGCTTCTCTAGCAAGCATGATGCTGAAAATTTAATTTGCTTTTTGACAAGGAATTAGGTGATGTAACAGCTCAGTACGAAAAGAGTTTGAAAGTTGTTAAATTTGACCCACGAATATTGGTCTCGCTAGCTAGGTTCAGATTGCCAAAAACGATGTCCCAATGAATGAAAAATTCTCGAGTTTGAAAAGAACTTGAAAAAAAATTTATAGTTTAATGCTTCGCGAAAATACCAATAAAATTTGAATCTAACAAAAGAAAATTAATTTCTCATAATATGGTCAATTACTGTTAAAATTTATGTTATAAAATGTGTTAATATTTAATATTTAACTGTCCCTCAAACAAGATAATAATTATATGCAATCAAAAATAATGCTGTGGGGAAATGACACAAAAAATGCCCCTAAAATGTGTGAATAACAGAAAGGGACCATAAATTGGAGTGATTATGCGGAAGTTTCTTGGTATTTTTGACATGATTTTTTTGAAAATTATCATATTACCCATATCAAAAATCAACAAAATATTAATAAATAAAATTCAGTTTTTAGCCTTTTTAAAACAGATAAAAATTCAGATTTTGAACTATCCAGGAGCTTTGATCAAATAATTTGAATGGATGAAAAGTAAATAAATTGATAAGATAACTTTAAAGATATTTTATTGTTTCAAAATATGAGATAATTTGATAAAAATAAAGTTTTATTAATAATATTTTTTTAATAGGATTGAGGATTATTTTTATCCTTGAACTATACACGAAGAGTTATAAATACCCTTAAACTTAATTATGAATCAATTCTGTTTTTCAATTTTAAAGATTCCCTTCTTGATCAACCTGCCATTTTCTTACTATTAGTTGACTGTTAGTGTACTACTACAAAAAAGAAAATATAAAACACTTATTTTAACTAATATTTAACAGTTATGAACCGTTGAATAATCTGACGCCGAATATTCTTGATGCCTTTATTCAACGGTTTTTTACCTTAAATAATGTTACTTTATTCAACGGTTTTTTTTTGTAAAAAACTATTAAATATTTGTTTCAGAGAATTACATCAGCATCTCAAGGAGGCAATATTCAATAGTTCTAGCCTCAAAATCGTTGAATATTATGAGAATATTTAACAATTCTGGCCTCGGAATCGTTGAATATTATGAAAATATTTAACGATTCTGGCCTTAGAACTATTGAATAGTTTGCAATATAAAATGATTGTGGCACAACCATTTTATATTTGTTCACTACATAAAATATTCAACAATTTTCTCTCAAAATTGTCAATATTATTGGCACATTTACCAAGGAGCCAATTGTGTTAACTAGTTGAATTAGGAAGATCAGTGTTTGTTTTGTTTTTAGTTTCACTTTTCCCCCTGTTTTATGCTTTAATTTGGTCATTTTGGTTACTAATATCATTTATGTGGTTGCTAGAATTTTATTTTCTCACTTCCCAAATTTTTTCTAGAACTCGATATCTTTATATGTTGGGTAGTGTTAAGTGAAATTCTCAATTTTAGTTGTTAAGTGACCTCTAATTTGACCAAATTCCATCATTATCATCACTTTTCATATATTCAATTAATTTTTTTTTCAAATTTTAGGTTATTTTTCAATTTTTTTCTAGATTTAGTCTTTTTATTTTTTTCCTTGCATGTTATTTTAGTGAGGACACAAGATCCACTTCGAAAAAAAATTAATGATTTTGATCATATACTTGAAAGGACTTTTCACTTCCTTTTATTTTTCCTTTAGTTTGATTGATTCTATTTTGGCTATGGAGATGGCTTAAAATGGTTATTACCTTGATATTAATTTTTGTCCCTCCATGCTTTATCATGATGCTCATAATATTGATAGGAAAATTGATGAGTTGTCTTTTATTGTTAGATAATTGTTTGCTAAACAGGTACTAGCAAAACCACTTGAATTTGCCCCTTACCACCTTAATATTACCCTTTTGGGAGTTTCCCAACATATGATAAGCCATAGTCATACTATCATTCAGAACATCACTTCCACTCCTATTCTTATGAGAGTACCATAGCTTTTGTGTAACAATACCCCTATATGCAAGCTAATGATTTCCTTAAGACCGCACAACCTCTACAACCTTTAAGCCAACCCATTCCAACACTTGAGGAGTGAATTAAGGGGAGTAATTTACATGTTATGATGAAGTAGATATTGGAGAGTAACATGTAGCTTTAGCATATTCAATGGAGCAATCAACAATTTACTTAGAAAATAGTAGATCAACTATGTTCCTAATACAACAAGTTCAAGAGGACTTTTCATTTTGATGATGATGTATATGAAGACATTGTTGTCGAAGTTTTTGACAATGATAAGTCTAAAATCACTAAACCATATTCCAGTTGTATTAATGAATTAGGTGCATGCAACAGTGGTGCTGAGATTGATATATTGCCTCCTAATTCTATTGACTCTTCTTAGTCCTAAAGAATTTATTGAATGTGTTAGTAATCATGCAGTACCTAATATTGTTGTTTCTGATGGCATGATCTATTTTACATTTAATGATGCTTGTGATAATATTGATTTAGAGTATCCTGAGACAATTGAGTCTAAGAATGTTGTGCCATGCATTGATTGCATCAACACTAGTGAATGTTTGCATTCTTCTTCCCATAACTTATATGCTTCTAGTATTGAGCTTCAATTGTTAGCAAAGTTGAATTTTTTGATTGTTAGGGAGATGATAAGACAGAGAAATTACCTATAGTTGAGAACAAAAGTGAAGGTGACTGTGAGATTAAAGTAAATATAGGTGGTAAGAGTTCTTAAGAGAATGTTATGCTTAAAGAGGCGTATTATCATGCATTGATAATGATTTTAGTAAGGAAACTCAGTATGATTATCTTTTTTTCATGAATGAGCAATGTGACGAGACTTAGGATGATTTGACTTCTGAGTTGCCAAATATGGTCAATTATAAAAATATTATGCATTGTACATCTGATGACTTACATAACTATGCTGCCTATATTGAAATAGATGAATTTATGAACTCTGATGATTCTTTAAACCCTCTTGTTTGCATTAACTCTATTTAGTGTAATGATCCGCTAAACTATATTGATTCCATTGAGACTATTAGTCCATCTGTTTGTGTTGAGACTTCTAATTATGATGATACTTATGAGATCATGCATTGAGTTGGTCACGTAAACAACATTGATTTTATAATCTCTGTGGCTTTTTGTGATGGTATTAATAATACTAAGAGTCATGAGATTATTAATTATATTATGCATTCTAACTTTAATAGTGCTTATGTGGAGGATTTTGTTGTTTTTGTTTAGCTTCATGAGCATGTACATGTGATTAAGAAAGCTTAGCTTATCATTTTCTATATATCTTGGATCCTCTGCCAATTAATCTAAAGCCATCGCCTAAATGAGCTTTTCATGAGTTTGGAGAGAAGAGTATTTTGAACAAGTAAAATAACCTCAAAAAACTAAACATTATTAATAACAAACAAACCAAGGTAATCAAGGAATTACCCTTTTTAGAGATTACTAAATCAAAGGATCCTAAGTTTTTTTAAGTTAAAATACGTCCAAATCATTCACTAACTCTTCAATCAGAGTAAAATAAGTTGCAAAAGTATGGGATACCTTATAAGAGTGAAAAAAATTGAAAACAATTAAAAAATAACTTGTTTGTTATAAACAAGGCAATGCACCATGATGTTTTGCTCTTTGTGCCAAAGCATCACGGCATGTTGTATGCTTTTAATAGTAGAATCGAGCAACTTTCAATGTATTATAAATCTCTATTTGACGTCCAAATGACATGATCTAGGTATCTATGGAAAGCTCTTACCGTAAACTAGTTAATGGCATGGGTTACACTTTCAAAACATGTCACACCAAAAAGTTGAACACCCAAACACATTTTCACCGTTTTTACCACTTTCACAACCAAAAAAGGGTGTTCAAAACCCAAAACAAGTGCCAAAAGCCATTTCTAACACTCAAACTATATTCATTAGACCTAGGATTACTAGTATAATACATCACATGCACTTAAATACCGACATAACATAAAATCACTCCTCAACCCCATCTTACTAAAAACAACAGGGGAAGGTAATTTCCAATACTTGGCATTCAAAATCAACTATATCATAATCTAAACAACAATTCCATACTTGCATTAGTAAGTTAGCCCTTTCAACACATGTAGCTATTCATACACAATTACCTAAGGCTCAAAATACAACCTAAACATTGTAATAAACTATATAATGTGAGTATAAAAAAATGCAACCTAGAATTGAAAATAATATTCTATTACATAAAATAAACATATACTAAAGGCATAAAAGAAGGAATGCACAGATTCCCAAGCCTCAAGAGCTTTGTTCCTTTTAGTATCAAAGCTAGAGTCTATAAAATGTTAAAGGAAAAGGGTGAGTCTAGTCACTTTGTAACCAAAGTAAAACCTACCCTATGTAATTATATATCAATTGTAATTAAACACATGAGTATGAGAAATAGCTTTTCTTGAAAAACATGCATTAACACATTCTTTCACTCATTTCATAGCTCATCACTTCAGGATGGAAATTTAAGTTTTTTATTCTTCCATTATGCCTCCCAATCTAACAAGCTATACCCCCGTGCACCGAAAAGCAGCTGAAATACCATATAAATTTTAACTACTCCCATCCCTAAGTAAACTCTCACTCATTAATCATGCCATGTATGATACTCACTTTCTATTTACATTCCCATTTACTCATTATCATAATAATCACGTTAGGCTTAGACTATGTGCTACCCAATTGAGTACCAGTACTCATTTTCACATACATTCACTACTTTCAAATTCAACACATATATCTTTGTCAAGATTCATCATCAACTATTCAATTTCAGTATGCTTTACAAATTTTCACCCAGTTCAAAATCACTTTTGCACTTTAAAGTTTATTTCACAATCAAGTCAATTACGCAAACACATAGTCTCATAACATGGTACACAAATTTACAAGTTACAAATTCACATGTTAAATACATATTTCATTTCATATTAGAATTAACATACAATTACCCAAAGTAGGGTTTCCCTGGTTG